CCATTGAACTATAAATAAACTGGAAGGCTAACTCAGGGGGGGAAATTGAAGCCAGTGCATTTTGGTTTTTCTGAGTTATCAGCAGAAATACTCAACACTGAACGTTGGGCTATATATCAAATTGAAGCTATTGAAAAACGCTATTTGGTGTAGAAATTTCAAGACTTTAGCTAAAAGGGAAATATTGAAAAACTACAAACATAATTACCGATAATTTGCCGTTTTGCAGTTGTTTTTGTATTTTTAAAATATTTTTCTTTTCGCTGAAGTCTTGAAATTTCCACACCGAATAGCAATTTTCAATAGCTTCAATTTGATATATAGCCCGACGTTTGGGGTCAAGTATTTCTGCTCATAACTCAGAAAAACTATTTTGGCTTCATCAAATCATAGGCCTTCATCATAGCAGTTAGCCTTCCAGTTTATTTATAGTTCAATGAGACAGGCTCTTTCTTCAATTTGAAGAAATTTCAAAAAAAATTTCAAGAATTTTTTTAAATTTTTCGCCCAAAATATAACATTTACAACTAATTATCATAATTCGTTTTTTATTGGAACAGCCTCTCATAGCAACTTAAGAGTTAATTGTTTTTGTTTGTGGAAACACCACGTAAATTTATTACCGCAATTATTACCCAATTATTTACCGGTATTACCAAATTTATTTGCGGTAATAAATTTACGTGGTGTTTCCACAAACAAAAACAATTATATTTTTCGCCATGCAAACATTCAAAGAACTTATAACTTAAGAGTTATCGTAAAATGTATAAAGAACGATTGCTATCTTTAATACAGCACTCCTGGCTGTTCTTAATTTTTAACTTAGCGATATTATTTATACTACATTTTAAATGTTTAAAAAAAACAATATAGGTTGTTAAATATATACAGTACTTTAATAGATGTGGTTGATGTGCCCATAGAGGCATTCAATTCGGTTCAAGTTCCATTAAAGTCGTGGTAAGGGTCGCATTGCAGCTCCGTCACTTCTTGGTGTATTGCTCAGTTGGTTGTGGCAGACGGGACAGGTTTCAGCTCTTTCATTGCTCAGCCTCAGTTGTGCAACTTGTAATTTTAAGTTGTCATTTTCTTCCCGCAATCGCGTATTTTCTACTTCTCGCCGAGTTTCACTGCAGACAATGTGAAATTCAAACTCATTTGAGGTTCGTCCCAGTTCAATCTTCACATATTCCGCCATAGTTTATTTCTTGAGTACTATAAAGAAAATTTATCGGCCGTCAATACATTAATTGGTCAGTATACGGTGTAACCATAAAGCCGTCTTCTTACCTTCAGAGTTGAGATGTTGTGATACAGATATTCATCTGACAGGAGCGTTTACGCAAATTCTGCACCTCAATTGTCAATTGTGATTGGTTGAAGCGAATTTTCGGTCAACTTTGATTGGGTAATGAATAATCACGTGCTGGCTGGGGAATACCCACTCTGCCTCGATGCATCGATTCATTTCCTGTTTTTCTATTTATAGACTTTTCCCAAAGTCGTTTCCAGTATTTTTGCGCGGTTCGTCCGTCGCCCACAAGCCGATGTCGAGTAGCGAGCGGTGAGGGGCAAGTCTACTCCATTTACTGTTCTAGAACATTTAGAACATTATTCTGGAACGATATAAATGGAGTGCACACGGTGTCCTGGAACAGTGTTTAGTTTATTATACATGCGTGCAACCATGCATTACATAGAGAATAATACATGGGGCCGAAATAGCCAGCGTGGGTCTTCTCTTGGGCCTGCACGCGGGCTAGTGCCGAAATACCCAATCTCGTTCCCCGAGCCTGCGATCCTCGGGAAGGAACGCGAGGCTCTGGGATAATCCGTTGCCAGAAGCCAGGAATTCTGGCTAAGATTGAACTACGCATTCCATTTCAACGGCCAATCAGATTCCTCCCTGAAACGGATTATCCCAGAGCCTCGCGTTCCCTTCCGAGGGTCGCAGGCTCGGGGAACGAGATTGCGAAATACCAGATTTATTTCGAGTGTTGAACTATGGTCAAGTGGTCAACTGTGGGAAGTCAAAGCAGTTCAGAATCAGAACAGCCATGTGACTCTCTTCTGTTCCATTCTTCTGTTCCATTCCATTAGTGTTCCGAAAATCCGGAGTACTCCGAACAGTAAATGGAGCAGCTTGCCACTGATTTCTGAAATGCTGAAAATGGGAAATTGGGAAAAATTCACAACCTTATTTGGAAAATGCGTATGCGCAGCGAAAATCGAACGTCCGTGCATTGTGTGAAGACTAAGGAATTTTAGAGATCTTGTCAAGGAATTGTCGAAATGAAAATCCCAGGAAAATCGAAATGAAAATTATTTTTTGAAAATTGAAATATAGCAAACGCAGAAGACGAATTCGTATCTTATATTTGAATCATGAGACTAAGTTGTATTTCTTTGTTACTTTATTATTGTTGTTTTTGAGCTTAATTTTCTGTTCATTTCGAGGTATCTATTTTAGATCCCTTTGGTTGAAGTGCCATCCCCCCCCCCCTGACTGCCTGAGTTTGCCACAAGCCCACAACGGCAAAAAGCAAGCAGAAATGTTCCAAACTTCTGCGAGTGCCAAAGCAAAAAAATATGGCAATTTTAATTTTGTACAGAAAGACGATTCAAGTCCTAAATTAACGAGTGTTCAAGTTGAAGATTCAGATCGAAGAGGCAATAATTCAGGGCATTATGGCGCCGCGCCAAACATTTCAAAACAACAACTTGTCATTATCGGAGTGTCACTGGATCACTTGTCTCGAAGTACACAGTTATTTATTTGCTGTACTGGGGTGTTCGCTTTTTATTTAGTCTATGGTTATTTACAGGTAGGTCTATCTTTTTACTGCATGTGATACACGCGTAGAAATCTCACATCTTGTAGCAAGTCTGCTAAGTCTGCCCTCAACAAGCTGTGTTCGCACTTGACCCACTGAAGTTGTCAACAAGTTTGGAACAAACTGTTAACAACTTGTAACAACCTTGTTGATATTATCAGACTTGTTGCAAGGTTGTTCCAACAAGTCCGATACAGTCATATATTGTTACAACCTTGTGTTGTTAACTCTGTAACATTCTTGTTGTATCATGACTGCATGGATATCAGACTTGAACAACCTTGTAGAAAGTCTTATTCCCTGATACACCTACTTTATTGTTTTACTCTGTCTAACACCAGACAATTTTACACTCGTCAAGAGAAGAGTGTTGCCACTCAATGATTAATGCCTTCTTTGATGTTTTCAGGAATTGATATTTAGCTTCGAAGGTATTCAGCCGTTTGGTTGGTATCTGACTTTAATTCAATTTGCATGTTATGGAATTTTTGGAATTATCGAAAGCAACTGGAGGAGGGAATTTAATAGAAGGTCAGTGATTACATGTTTCACGTAGTTGCATCATCCAAAGTTAGCAAGATTTTTGTCTATTCATTTATGACCTCTAGGATTCCCCTGCAAACGTATGCACTATTGGCATTTCTGACTGTATCAACCATGGGACTTTCAAATACATCGTTGGGATACCTTAATTATCCAATGCAAGTGAGTCAGTTGGTGTGAATGGTCTATTAATTAGCAGTTAATTATTATACTAAAAAATTAATACATTTTTTAATAATTACTCTATTTTTAATGTCTACTGTTCAATGATCAGTTATTATAATAATAATAATTAACGAGTGGTCTAACATTAATTAGCAAATATTAGTATTATGTAATTAATTAATGATAAAAATTATTTTATTAATTCTATTTTTAATTAATTATTATTAGTAATAATTAATAATAATTTTCTCTAATTGTTCTAACTGTATATTTTGTGTAGGTCATATTCAAATGTTGTAAACTTATTCCAGTCATGATAGGTGGAGTTTTGATACAAGGTATTTTAGGCGTAAAAAGAAACCTGTGGTTCCGGTTTCATATCGCGAAAAAAATTTTCATGGTTTTTTCAATAATTAGCTATAGTGTGACAACAGACGCCATTTTGGCAACAGCCCACAATGACCCGGAGAAAATAGGGTCGCACGGTCAATCGCGTTGAAAAAATAATAGGGTCGGCAGAAAAAAGTAGGGTCAGTAAAAAAATAGGGTCGGTCGGGAACCGGAACCACAGGTATTTTTTTTACGCCTTAAATTGAAGTTGGTAGGGGCAGGATACTGACACCTAGTGGGAATTAATCTGAGCACTGCATTATTGGTTTGAAACTGCCACTGTTTAGTGCCCTCCATGTCATCCAGTCACTCTTGTTTTGAATTATTTGTACAATATATTTTACAAGATGTATTTTTCATAAATGCTTTTCAGGGAAAAGATACAGTATTGTGGATGTAGCAGCTTGTGTATTGATGAGTATTGGTTTAATTTTGTTCACATTGGCTGACAGTGAAATTTCTCCAAAATTTGATCAAACCGGTTAGTTGTAAAAAAATATAACATTTTTAATTATAGCATTGGAAAAAACAACCCAATCAAAGACATCTGTTTCCTTTCCAGTTTACATGATATTTCATATACTAAAAAGGAAAAATCTCTAAAACCTGTAATACTAAAACTACAATGGCAAAGCAGCTAAAATTACTGCTTATGTGTGGGATATAACCCTTGTTGAACAGACTATGAACTTGGCAAGTGTTTGACAGTGTGTACAGGCATTTTTTGTTGGAATACGAGGTTTTATTGTGCATCTAATTAATGTTTTTTTAGTTAATCACGTCATATATATATCATATTGTTTCTTTAGTGGTTTGTTTTTATCCTGCTACACTCTTGACTTTATTTTGACACAAAGTGTTTTTATCACATATGTTGATTCAATGCAAAGTTTAGGCATGAAGATGGAAATAAATCTGGAACAAAATTACTAGGGCCTGTTAACAAATATATTGTCACAGAGCAATGTATTACATTTAAGCACCATGCCAGTGGTATAGCCAGGGGGAGTGGCAAAAGGACTGCCCTTGTGAAAAATGGAAAACTGGGCAGGAATTGGGGAGGGGGCAGAGGCGGTACAATGTGTGAATAATGATACCCATCTCTTTTGGTTATCAATAGAGTCCTGACTCCAGTAAAAAATGCCTATGGTGGTTGAAGGAACATTTTTTGAACTTGAATTTATGCACTTAACAGCAGTCATAATCGAGCGACTTCAGAGTTCAAATATTACAGCCAAGTGTCTAGTGAGCTTTTTATTACAATATAATTTCCACTTCAAAAACGAAGTTGCTGTTGTATTTGTCTGTACAGTACAATGTGTTACAAAAATATTTTTTCGATATAACAACATCAGGCGACTTAAAAATGGCTTTTTGTGGTAGTAAATTTTCTTCAATCCTCGTCCTAAAATACGTGAAATAGCGTTATAAGAAAAATCTAAAAATTCATAATTTTCCCAACCCTCATAGATTCCTTGCGTCTTTGGCGCTCCCATTCGAAATGCCATAACAAATCCCCCCAAATTTAATAATATCGCTAACGTATTTAACATTGCAAATGCAATGTCATAATATGAAAAATTTCGGTTAAATATTCAGTTAAATTTTCAGTTAAGCATTAGCGATCGCTTTTACGCGTTTTACTAAAACAGAAATTATTCGACAAAAGCTGTGTTTTAGAAAAAACCCGCAAATTAAGGCATTTCGACCCACGACTTTTACCCACGACACACAACTTTTTACCCACAATGCACCAACCGACAAAACACAGGTGAACAAAACGTTTACGAATTAGTAATTATTGTATTGACACATTCCCGCAGTCAAGGTTCTACGTCACATTACAAGCGATATTATCAGACTAAATAAAACTGGAAATACAGTAAAACCTTCAATTACAGTATTTTAAACTACATTTTAAATGTTAAAAAACAATATAGGTTGCCAAATATATACAGACTTGGATGTGGCCATAGAGGCGTTCAATGTTCCATTAAAGTGGTAGTGGTCGCATTGCAGCTCCGTCACTTCTTGGTGTATTGCTCAGTAACCTCAGTTGGTTGTGGCAGACGGAACAGGTTTCAGATCTTTCGTTGCTCAGCCTCAGTTGTGCAACTTGTGATTTTAAGTTGCTAACTTGTTCTCGTAGACGAGTAATCTCTTCCACTTCTTCTCGCCGAGTATCGTTGTTTCTCTTTACGATATGAAATTCACACTCATTTGGAGTTAGCTTAATATCCACATATTCGGCCATAATTTTCTTGAGTGCGATAAAGAGCTGCAAAAAAATTATCCTGTCGTCAATACTTTAATTGGTGTAAAGGGTATAACTATGAAGTCTGCTTACCTTGTTACCTTTGAATATCAGTGCATGTTGAGACTGTTTTGGCGAAGATTATCCTGACACGAGTTCATATACATGCAGGTTCGCAGACGCAATGCCCATAGTCAACGACGATTGGTTGAACCGAATTTTCAGTCAACTTGATTGGATAATGAATAATCACATGCATAAGTAATAGCAAGTGCAGGGGAAACCCCCCGCATGTTTCAACAGACGAACGACTTTTGTAGCGACAGCCTTCCTTTTCTTAACTTTCCTGCGTAGCGTTTCCTAGGATACGCTTCTGACGAGCCACGAGTGGGATGTATGAATTATGAATAAGGTATTATTTATTCTATTTTTAGGGATCATTTTAATCACGTTGGCTTTATGTGCAGACGCGATGATTGGAAATGTTCAAGAAAAAGCGATGAAAACTTACTCTAGTACCAACACAGAAGTGGTAAGATAGCGACGATAACAGAGACAGCGAGGGATTGAGAGGGGTACAACTCCTTCACTTGAAAAATACAAGCCGAATTTCGTCGTTTCGAGCGAAGACCTTTTGTCAGAAAGTTAAACTGAGGTTTCATACTAGTGTTTATACTTCGCTCAAGCGTGAAATAGGACGAAAGTATGAAATAGGACAAAAGCGTAAAATAGGATAAAGCGTAACAACACGACAAAGGTATCTAAGCATTAAATTATGTAGAAGTTATAGTTCACTCCGGTTCACTCATGCTTCTGTAAACCAGGGCCGGCAGCAGGGGCCAGTTGTTCAAAGCTGGATTAGCTTAACTCTAGTTTCATATTATTCTGACACTGCAATCGAGCAAGGAAAAATTCGTTGGCTCGAGCAGGATTCGAACTCGCATCTTCGAGTATCTAGACCGCCGCTCTACCCATTGAGCTATCGAGTCAACGGGGATTGGTAGCGAGTCTTATCCAATTTAAGTGCACGAAATATTTTCGTGACGACTTAAGTTAGGCCCGTTTCATACGTCGCACTATCGTCGAATTTAATTCAGACGAATTTAATTGAACGAATTAAATGCGACGTTAGTGCGTCGTATGAAACGAATTAAATCCGTCTGATGAATTAAATTCGTCCAAGACGTTGTATCCGTCGGCCTGTTTCATACGTCGAATTTAATTCAGACGAATTTAATTCGTTATTAAATTCGTCAATTGGTCGACACTAAAATGGTTTCGTTTAATTCAGACGAATTCATTTCATGTTTAGCGATCATGGATTACCCAGAAGTAAAAAACCACGAGACCAGAAAGAGAGAAACAGACTTTAACATAATTTATGCATTTAATTCGACACGACGATAACGACGCGCTACAGACGTTGTATCCGTCTGACCATGACGGATACAACGTCTTGGACGAATTTAATTCATCAGACGGATTTAATTCGTTTCATACGACGCACTAACGTCGTTCAATTAAATTCGTCTGAATTAAATTCGACGATAGTGCGCTTACGTTAGTGCGTCGTATGAAACGAATTAAATCCGTCTGATGAATTAAATTCGTCCAAGACGTTGTATCCGTCATGGTCAGACGGATACAACGTCTGTAGCGCGTCGTTATCGTCGTGTCGAATTAAATGCATAAATTATGTTAAAGTCTGTTTCTCTCTTTCTGGTCTCGTGGTTTTTTACTTCTGGGTAATCCATGATCGCTAAACATGAAATGAATTCGTCTGAATTAAATTCGTCGTTTGAAAGTGTCGACCACTTGACGAATTTAATAACGAATTAAATTCGTCTGAATTAAATTCGACGTATGAAACAGGCCTAAGTCTTAACGCTTGTCTTAGAGAACGCGCAGTGTTTCAATTCTATTTCAGAACCATCCTCAGAGATACGAAAAACTAGTTTCATATTATTCTGACATTGCAGTGTCAGAATGAGTTAGGCCTGTTTCATACGTCGAATTTAATTCAGACGAATTTAATTCGTTATTAAATTCAATTGGTCGACACTAAAATGGTTTAGTGTCAGAATGAGTTAGGCCAGGTTTCATACGTCGAATTTAATTCAGACGAATTTAATTCGTTATTAAATTCAATTGGTCGACACTAAAATGGTTTCGTTTCAAACGACGAATTTAATTCAGACGAATTCATTTCATGTCTAGCGATCATGGATTACCCAGAAGTAAAAATTTCATGTCTAGCGATCATGGATTACCCAGAAGTAAAAACCACAAGACCAGAAGGAGAGAAACAGACTTTAACATAATTTATGCATTTAATTCGACACGACGATAACGACGCGCTACAGACGTTGTATCCGTCTGACCATGACGGATAAAACGTCTTGGACGAATTTAATTCATCAGACGAATTTAATTCGTTTCATACGATGCACTACCGTCGCATTTAATTCGTTCAATTAAATTCGTCTGAATTAAATTCGACGATAGCGCGACGTATGAAACGGGCCTAACATAATTTATGCATTTAATTCGACACGACGATAACACGTCGTATGAAACGAAGACGCGCTACAGACGTTGTATCCGTCTGACCATGACGGATACAACGTCTTGGACGAATTTAATTCATCAGACGGATTTAATTCGTTTCATACGACGCACTAACGTCGCATTTAATTGGTTCAATTAAATTCGTCTGAATTAAATTCGACGATAGTGCGACGTATGAAACGGGCCTTAGTTTCCTTCAATCCGTCTAACGGTCTATCTATTAATGGTTGCTGCTTTATAGTTACATTATGAGTTGACTTCCAGAGAACAATGTTTTTAATTTTGCTCGCACATTTATAGATATTATTTTCCTATGGTATTGGTTTTTTCTATATACTGGCTGGATTAGGAATCTCTGGTGGTTTGCGAGAACCATTTGAGTATTGCGCTCAAGTAAGTTGAATTGAACTCACTGATTCGCTACTTTTCTTTGATGTCTGTGCTGTCTTTCTAAATTCAATATTTTTTCCAGCATCCGTCAAGTACGTATGGCCTGGCTGTGATATTTTCTCTTACTGGTTATCTTGGGATTGCATTTGTTTTGTCTCTGGTCAAATGTTTTGGAGCTCTGCTCGCTGTCACAGGTATACTACAACAACACAATTTCCCATTTCCACTCAGGAAAATTTTCCGCAGAAAGAAAAATGTGTAAAATGTGATTGGCGGACACAAATTTTCAACTTTTAACAAGGATATTTACGTTGAAAATTTTCAACTTTTAGCAATGATATTTTCGTTGAAAATTTTCAACTGTTAATTAATTAACAATGATATTTTCGTTGAAAATTTTCAACTGTTAACAATGATATTTTTGGAAAATTTTCTTGCCATGGAAATTTTTCTTGAGTGGAAATGGGTCCTTAAGCCCGCCGCCCGAGCTATCAGCTTAGCAAAGTTTCACTCGTGACTGTTGGCGTAATTAATTAAAGCCGGTTTTCCAGTAGGCGGAGTTTTGCACGCGGAGCGGAATTTCTCTTTGTCTTTTTTCCACCCGAGAAATCACAAGACAAAGAAAAATTCCGCTCCGCGCGCAAAATTCCGCCTAATGAAAAGTGGGTTATTAAGCCATTGCTTAAGAAAGAGTGCGGTGGCGTTTTGAGCATTATTCCGATATTCAACATGTTGAATAATTTTATGCACGAGTGGACATTTCCTGCAAGTGTGTGCGCGTGCAAAGCTATCAACTTACAATAAGAGGCAATTCCTGCTGTGTTCCAAGCGCAACCAAGGCACACTGTGGAACGATAAAACAATTTGAACGCAAAAGAGCGTGTTCCCCACCTTCAGTAAAAGCTCGATCGAAAGGGTTGCATGCTGTTTGCAGTAAAACAACAACCGATGATGACTTCTAAATATTATATTTTTATATTCTAGTCACCACATGTCGAAAAGCCATAACTATTGTCTTGTCTTTCATGTTTTTTACCAAGCCATTTACATTTCGGTAAGTTGATTATTAATTCAGAATTACATCACAGGTTGTGGTTAATGATTGATAAAAAATGTTTGATAAAAATATTAGTTTAATTTTAATACTGTTCAAGTAAATGCAACACACAGTCACACACGTCTGTTTTGAAGCACCAAATCTGGGGTGTTTCAAAGTCACTATAGAAAAATGTTCTGTGATTGATTTATTCTAAAAATAAAAAACAAAAATAGAAGAACGATTCACAGACGAACATAGTATTTTATTAAAAGAACGAGTTACTACGCCCCTGCTACTAAATCAATGATAATGGAACAATCTTCCTTATATGAGGCAATAACCACTGCATCCATAAGCTCCTTTAAAACGTTTCTGAAACCGACGATGAGTTGAAGCTCGTTTATCCTCTATCTTGTGTCATGTAGACAGTATACCCTTTGTAATGTTCCTATCATGTTTTGTTTTGTAAATCTGCATTCCACGTCCTTCATGGAAACCTGATGATAATCAGCTCATTTCTGTTAACTAGATATGTTTGGTCAGGTGCCATTGTTCTCCTTGGTATTGCCTTGAATGTGTACAGTAAAAATAAAGATAAAACGGACGCCATGTGTTGGCGATTTTGGATGAGGATGTCAAGAAGAAAGCCAGCTCTTTCGCAAGAAATATGAATCTGAAAATTTTTAACACATTGGGAAGTTTTGAATTTCTATTTAAATTTTCCAATAATTATTTATTCATTGTACTTCGTTTTACAGATAAACACACTGAATTTGTTTTAGTACAATCACAGAGACAGTCGCCTTGTCAGCTACGCGTTCAATCTATCGGGCGAAAGTGACCACACAAAGTGACCGACTCTTTTAGTTTCAGACGACACATATGAGGAGGGAGTTTATATTTGGAGAGGAGAATACCAATACACGCTTCCTGAAAATACGTCACCTTGGCTATACAGCCTCGTTCTCATGATTGATTTATATCAGTGTCTTTTATTTATAATTAGTTATAAGTTCGTTATACTTATAAAAAGTATGTAAAATAAAAGCCGACAATTTCCAAATTGAACATCCAGAAACTTCCAAAGTCTTTGTAAAATGACTAAAATGCATTTCCGTAATTTTTGTCAATCCATTGTTTAGCTCCTCCCCTTCCGAGCAGGGGCTTCTTCCTGAAATGTGAAATGTGATATTGTGCTTGGCTTATTTATTGCTTTGATATTTCACATTTTCAGTAATGGTCAGAGTATAAGGCAACTAAAACTACTTCTATATTGTACAATATTGCCTTTTGTGACCAGGGAAAACATCTAAAAAAAGGGTATTCGACTATTGAGGCAGAGAGAAAAAATCGTTGAATTTTTAATGGCGTCGGAAGCGACAAATATATGCAGTACGGCTGTGCCAATTTTGTCGGGCGATAGAGAAGGTTTGAGCATGGAAGAACGCGAAGATAGTTTGTATAAAGCATTGCAATGGGTCAGAGACGAACTAGTGAGTAACTGAGTGCAATTTATGAAGTGTAATGTTAAATATTTAGACAAATAATTTGCTATTTTTGACACTTGGTTGTTAGTTGTAAACATTAACGCATGCGGTGTTTGAAATATATATTACTGCCTAATATTTTGTCAACAAAGCGACTAGGCGTAATTTGTTCACTTTAAGGTTTAGAAAAACACAAACTTAGTTTAGACTCATTGAATTTAATGTTGAAAATTGAGTCCACTGTTTATTAATTTATTAACATTGATATTAATTAAAAGGAAATGGTTGTTTGCCCATGATAAGGGATGCAACTAGCTGAAAAATAGATATTCGAGCTGAGAACTTCGATATTTTCAGCTAAGGCCCTTCGTTACAAAGTTCGTAGCCAATTCTTCATGGATACCAAAGTGCAAACACTATTTGTCCGGTACTCTTCATTCTTTCAGCGTGCTAAAGTCACAGAATGGAGACAAAAGTCTTACTTACTCAACCAAAAAAGCATAACTGCTTTCATCAGATTGCACTTGCCATGTTCCTAGCTAGTGTGCTTATAAATGAGAGGCACTCAACCCCGAACATCCACCATTTTGAGGGGGGTGAATGTCTCGTATAAAGCACACTGGCTAGCAACATGGCGACAACATTGCAACGGTTACACCAAAATTATAGGCAAAACCAAGTCTTTATTCTGTGATACTAGTGACTGACTATTTGAATGAACTGATCAAATTAATTCACAATGACAGTATTATTATAATATTATATTTTAGAACACTTTGAAATCTCAGGATCAGTCTCTGATGCGTCAATTCTCGAGTCTTCGTACAAAAATCAACATGATAAAAGACGAGCTGCCAGCCTCGATTGATCGAAGCAGTACCATCAGTTTCACTTCTCCCAAACCTTCAGACGATGAAGATGTCTTTTTTGGTAACAATGACGTGCGAATTCGAGTGAACTCGCAGACAAATTTCAGAACTAAATCATATTCTTCTGGCAGTGACGAAGAAAAATTATAATCATGATAAATATAATGTGTATTTTTTAAAGAATTGTTATATTGATATTTTATTCAGAGAGAGCATCGTTATATAATTTTGACTGTTTTTTTAGTGTAACTTTTGAGATTTCTTATGAGCAAAGGGCAAGTAAAAATAGAATTTTGTAAATGATATGATATTAAAGGGCAAACCATTTTTTGACATTTTCCCCATGAATTTTGGAACTGCCTGAAAAATAGAAAATACTTCAACTTTTTCATGGAAAGGCCCTTTGTTTGAAAATTTGTTGTACATACAACTATTTCATTTAAGGTTGTCCACGTGCAAAGCGGAAAAATTGAATACGAGCGCAAAAGGCTGCTGGGAATCGCTATGAAAATTCGTTAATTTGTTAGCGATTCCCAGCAGCCTTTCGCGCTCGTATTCAACTTTTCCACATTGCTTGTGGATAACCTTAATTGAAATAGCTGTATGTGAGTGTCCGTTAGATATATGAGGCATCTACTACTGCAACACAGTGCCATTTATAATCTCTTAGATATGGCATGCGCCACATAATGGGTTAAATACATTGCATTTATTAGAGAGTGGGCATTTATTAGATAATTTACAATATAGTTTCACTCATGATGTAACAAACAATTTTATTGAACTTTTTTAACAAATATATACAAGTTTATCTAGTTTATATTTTAATGTGACAAACTACACTACTGAGGCCATTTTCCTTCTTTGATCAGCTTGCTTTTCTCTTCTCTTATTCTTTCCAATCTCGCTGACTAGAAATAGAAGATTATCAATGATCATGAACTTTGACACATTGGCTCACTCCAGAAAAGATCTACACCCTCCCTAGACTTGGTTCAAGTCCGTCTCACGAGAAAAGTAGGGAGAGACGGACTTGGGACATTTGCAGCATTTCGAATGTTATAGTTGCAAAAATTGGCGTGAAAATTTGTTGTTGTTCTCAACTCGCAAGCCACGCATCCGTAGGAAAAATCCGACGGTAAAATTTGGCGCACTTGCAGGGTATCCAAGTCCGTCTCTCCCTACTTTTCCTCTCATATTTTCACGCCTTTTTTGACCATTTGCAAGGATCGCTATTTCCATCCCCTTGAGAGACGTACTTGAACCAAGTCTACACCCTCGCCTACGGAGGATATTTCTGTCTGAAGGGGAGAAAAATTTCTTTCTAACAACTTCCAATTTCCTTTGCAGGGGAGGTATGGATTTCTGGAATGACCCAATATCAATTTTTATTTATATATCTGTTTTCGGTATTTTCTCAATACTGCAACACCAGATACACACTGCCATATAAACTTTGACTTTTTCCAGGGGGTGTAGGGTATGAATTGGTGCATATTCCCCCCCCCCTGGTAAAAATGCATGATAATGATATCGTAAAATCTGCAGAACTAACCAGTTTTCTATGATGGAGACACTCGTCATAATCCTCTTTTTGTTGAACACATTTTGTGTGCTGCCCGTATCTACCATGTTTTCCAAAACAATCGACCAGTTCTTGCCAAAACTGAAAACATCGCCCGTAGTCGCCATCATTACTTACATTTTGAGACATTTTCTACACAAAATTCAACCGTAATTTTTAATACACATACTTATAAATATACTAAATTCCACCACCAACGAATACAAAATAATACAACTCACATTTTACTGAATTTTTAGGGAAAGTATTTCAAAAAATTTTCAATACTTTTTTATTTTTAATAACGCTGAGTATACTACAGTGGGCTCAATTTCGTGCCCAATCTTCCCTAAATCATCGGTCAGTTTTGGCGGAATTTTTTCACGCCTTCCTGGCAATTGTATTTGAGCCTTCCTGGCAATTGTATTTGAGCCCCCCTTGTTAAAATTTCATGTTGACTTTGGGGGGCTGAGCCCCCTCCCCTATAATTTTTGAAATAATCTTAAACCACCCTGGTGTGTGTGTGCGGTGGAGGAGGGGGGGTGACACCCCTGTCTCTACCCATCGGGTATGACCATACAATTTAGTAGGCCAAATTTTGAAAATATTTGAGTCTCTCGGATTGAAAAGTAATACTGGTAGGAAAAAGTGGTAGTGAAAATTGTCACCAACAATTTTGCGAAAATAAATATTAAACAATATCAAACAAAACCACTAAAATAATTATTAACTGGTCCCTCCAGGACTACACCACTGAACTCGTGAACTTATCTCCGTTAATATGCGTTTCGAACCTTTCTAAAGGCTATTTTCCACTAGGCGGAATTTTGCCAGCGGAGCGGAATTTTTCTTTGTCTTGTGATTTCTCGTGTGGAACTAATTAGAAAAGACAAAGAAAAATTCCGCTCCGCGCGCAAAATTCCGCCTAGTGGAAAACAGCCTTTAGAAAATTTTTTTCGATCAGCCAAAAATTTTCTAAGTGACAAGCCTAGCTTTACTTGACTTCGAAATACGGGCAAGCGTAGTGTAATTTATAGTAATCGGGACGGGCAAGGATTGATTTGCATACGGCTCAGTGCTATGATAGCCATGTGAAAATGTGCTTTAAAATTCACATTAGCGAAACCTGTCTCCGTTAATATGCGTTTTGAACCTTTCTAATTCGATCTATGACGAAAAAATTTTTTCGATCAGCCAAAAATTTTCTAAGTGACAAACCTAGCTTTACTTGACTTCGAAATACGGGCAAGCGTAGTGTAATTTATAGTAATCGGGACGGGCAAGGATTGATTTGCATACGGCTCAGTGCTATGATAGCCATGTGAAAATGTGCTTTAAAATTTTCCTGAGCCAAACCTATCTCCGTTAATATGCGTTTTGAACCTTTCTAAGTTGGTCTATGACGAAAAAATTTTTTCCGTCAGCCAAAAATTTATTTGACTCAGAAATCCGGCCAACGGGCAAGCGTAGTGTAATTTATATTAATGGACGGGCAAGCGTAGTGTAATTTATAGTAATCGAGACGGGCAAGGAATCATTTGCATACGGCTCAGTGCTATTCCGATCTATGTGAAAATGTGCTTTAAAATTCACCTTAGCGAAACCTGTCTCCGTTAATATGCGTTTTGAACCTTTCTAATTCGATCTATGACGAAAAAATTTTTTCGATCAGCCAAAAATTTTCTAAGTGACAAGCCTAGCTTTACTTGACTTCGAAATACGGGCAAGCGTAGCCAAAAATTTATTTGACTCAGAAATCCGGGCAACGGGCAAGCGTAGTGTAATTTATATTAATGGACGGGCAAGCGTAGTGTAATTTATATTAATGGACGGGCAAGGAATCATTTGCATACGGCTCAGTGCTATGATAGCCATGTGAAAATGTGCTTTAAAATTCCCCTGAGCCAAACCTATCTCCGTTAATATGCGTTTTGAACCTTTCTAATTTGATCTATGACGAAAAAATTTTTTCGATCAGCCAAAAATTTTCTAAGTGACAAGCCTAGCTTTACTTGACTTCGAAATACGGGCAAGCGTAGTGTAATTTATAGTAATCGGGACGGGCAAGGATTGATTTGCATACGGCTCAGTGCTA